TCTATAAATTTTATCTTTTAAATATATTTATTAGAATTAAAAGTGTTACATTAAGACATACTAGAGTATTCGTACACTGCTACTGGAATTTATTCATTATATACTTTTGGACTTGTGATTGGACATCAGACAATTTGGGATTTAAATCACGGCACTATATGTGACTCGTACGTGTTTGTTTCGTAACTCAGAAAAATACATTTTTGTTGATTTTACTAAACTTGTTAGTTCCGATTCTAGTTTAAGACGTAGAGTCGTAACAACTTGAAACAGTTATAATCATATCAATATTAAATTTTCCCAAGTACAAACTTATAAGAATGAATGCCAGCTCAGAACGAGGTAATACAGAGACGAAGATCTACATGTGGTTGGTGTAATCTATGTTGGAGGTCTATTACAATGCTGAACGTTTCCTGCAGGACTTATGGACAAACGTAGCATAACGGGCATTTGATAATGGACACTGTTACTGCATAAATGCTTGCTGAAAATTAGCTTTTATTTCATCCAAAATTGCTTTAGAATAGATGATGTTTATGGCATTGTGAAAGATCCGAAACTCTAGGTGGAAGACGCTTCGAGCTAAAAGAAAGACTCGTAACTCCAGGTGGGAGATGCTTGGGGCATAGTTAAAGACCAATAACTTTAGGTGGAAGTCGCATACAGCATGGGAAAAGACCCATAACTCATGGCGGAAAACGCTAAAAGAATGTTGAAAGAATAATACCTCTAGGCGGAAAAAGCTTACAACATGGTCAAAGGCCCATACCTCTAGGTGGAAGATACTTACTGCCAATCTGACGACCTTTGTTTCTAGGTGGAAGGCACATAATACCAGATGAATGACCCCTGTCTCAAGGTAAAAGACAGCTAATGCTAGGGATTATCGCATGATACACAGATAAAAAAAGTGATCTTCTCTTGTTCTCAGACATGAAAAGAATTCGGTTCTTTATTTTGGAGGGGGGGGCAAAGTAATATCAAAACATTTGATGGATCACTTATTGGGGGTTGTACCTTCCATGTTATTGTGAGTACCATGACTTAGCGACAGAGAGAAATAGCACAGATGTATTAATAAATCGTTCTGAAAGTGACTATGATTGTTAGCATGATCTAAATTCGCTCATAGCGCAGCATTAACAGTAGTAGTAATAATATTGGTAGTAGTAGTAGTAGTAGTAGTAGTAGTAGTAGTAGTAGTTGTTATTGTTGTTGTTGCTGTTGTAGTAATATTAGTCCTCGAAGTATTATATTAAGTTCAATTATTCGCTGCCCTAAACAGTTTCACATTAACCGCAAACGAAAGAAAACAGTAATCAACCGTAATCAATATCAACCCCGTGTTATCTCCCATGAATAATTGTAAATGTACATATTATAAACTATTATTTTCTAAATGGTTGTTTTTTGTCTATTTTCATCTGCTTTGTCTGACGTGTATAGTACAGTTTTTCTCTCTATCCGAAACCGCCTTAAATGAAAATATGTTTGACTAGATTGTGTTATTATGTAAGGCAAAATATAATGATATCAACTTTAGCGAAAGATAGTATTAATAGCTAACGACAAGCCATTCATATACAAAAATACTTTGAATAAAGTTTTGCAATTATGAATATTGGAGTGTCAGTAATTCTCACATTACGGAATTGCATGAGCAGGTGACTTTTCTAGGTCCACACTTTCTAAGCTGTCGCCATTATTCTACGCTCCAGCTTATGTTGCTACAACATTTTTCTGTTTCAACGAAACCATTTCTACAACAAAAGAAAAAATACTACAACCACAAAGTTTAGTAGAAATAATAGCAATCTTGCTATTGAAATCTCTTATTTTAATCAAAGAAAGCCAAATACGGCCATAACCAAATTTTCCGAATCTATCCATTTTGATCTACATTGTCTGACTTGTGGATACTTTTTAACCGCATAAATATTTGTACAACACGTGCATGTAATGGCGTTCTCAAACATTAAATTCAGCTCGGTTTCATCTGCAATTCTACAGATCGGCTTCTTTCAGAGCATGATTTATAAGTACATTTTGTTGCTAATCAACGCTGTGATTGGTTTTGCTCTAAGCAAATATGGGTACGCCAACAATATTTCCGCTGGTAAATCGTTTTTGGACAACCAGTCAAATATCGAAACTTGTGATTCATTGCTGTTCTGAATGGTTACAAAACCTTTTACTTTCAATAAGACGTAGAAGTGATAAAAAAATAATAAATTCAATTGATAGCATTTAAGGCACCCGCATCGATTAGTTTTGGACGCGTCCTAATAATGCGAATACAACCAGGAAAACCAAATACTCAAATGGCTTTTAATGAAATCATCTAACATATCTAAAGTGATCCTCGTTTGCCTTTCTTGACACTATATTTGGGTAATTTCACCTTAAATATAAATCATTTTCAAAATTCTAAATGGAAAGCAATTTCACTTTATCTTGCTCCATACCATATCTGCCTATAATGGTAAATAAAGGCACTTGTTTCATTTAATGTGGTCATTTTTTAATTTAAAAAAAACAAACTCTTTCGTTATCAGAAATATTATAAGTAGCCCATTGGTACTCATGTATAAATGTATCACCTAAATATTTCCTTTGGAAATAAAGTTTACTTGATTAATAACTCTTCCCAAAAACGTGGTTATCTTTCTGTTTCTGGACGATACCTTGACATTTGAACACAACGCTCACAGAAGTCAATCAAAATGAACCAGTTTGTCAAAACAACCCGGCACCAATGGAATTGTGAATTAGACTTTCTATTCTTTTTAATTACATGTTCCCATTTTACGTTTGGTAATATACTGTTGGTGTCGAAACAGTAACTAAAGACTTGTTAAATCGAAAAGTGCGGTAATTAATTTTTTGCTGCCATTCTTTGGACAATTGATCTCATTTTCTGCTCGATCATGCTCTCCTAGGATGAGGTGAACTGAAGATGGAAGTAACAAAACTTCGAAAAACGTTTATACAGGAATGATCTTTTGGGTAACAGGTTTTCTTACACGAAATGCAGATGCTGCGCATTACACGAGCTATGACGTTTTACAATGGCTTTTTGTATCATTTATTTACCATGCTCGCTTGTGTTTATTGCCGTGTCCCATATTTGTTTTCATTAAATAAGATGATTCATTTGGTCTAAAGCACTCGCCTTTGCCAATCATGCCATTTCACTTTTGTTCACCTTGTTTTGAGTCTCGTGCTCGGGCAGTACGGGTATGCGGGACTCAGTAACAATATTAATAATAGCCAATGTTTGAGTTACCATTAGACAAATGTGAACCTAACAATTAAAGAGGCATTTCTTTCATTAATATTTCTAAACAAACCTTTAACCTGTAGTTGAAAGCAAAGCATTGCTAAATAGTATCAAGCTAATGACAAAATGGAAGTTTATCAAGCCATATTCCGCAACGGTTATTCTGCAATAGTAATATTTTTTTTACTGTTCAAGCAATTGTTTATATGCATGGATATAAAAATAAATCGTTTCTATTGATTGTTTATGAACCTTTCAAAGACTTTTGACTCAGATGATCATGTGAAATTATTAAAATGCTAAACTAACGAAAGTATTGGCAGGAAGAATTTCTAATCTTGACTTACAAAACTGTAGGTTCATTCAAGCAGAGAAAAACAACATTGCTCCAGTTATCGACAGTAATATTGGTTTAAGATAATATTGTATATTAAAGTCTCATCTATTCAACATATTTATAAATAATTTAGTATCAGACCTTCGACAAAAACGTGAAAATTGTATCTTTATTACACAATAAATGTTTAAATCTACTGCCCTGTTTGCTTACTTGCTGGTGACGTTGCACATTGTACAGATTATATTCAATTTACTAACAGACTATTGTACAGATTATATTCACTTTACTAACAGACTATTGTACAGATTATATTCACTTTACAAACACAGACAATATGTGAATATTGTGGAATTTGTGCTGCTTAAATTATAGAATTCAGAAATGGTGAATATTATCAGTAGTAAACAAATCAAAACCGTAACTGCTTATAAATTTATGAGTGTATACTTCACTCGCAAACATATAGTGACTAAAGCAAAGGAAGATATATTAACCGAAGTTAATACATCTGGACGCACAAGGTTATTAGTCAAAATAATTCGGGAAAACATGGAAACAGAAATTTTCAGAATTTGTTTATTGTGTACCACTGATATCAGAGGCATCTATATATCGGCATTGAAAAGTATATACTAGGTTGTATGCAAGATTTTGGATCATTCAGAGACAAACACGCTTTGTCTTATCACAGACTGAATGTGGAAGATTACCTCTGTGTTTTACTAATTACTGGAGATGTATTAAGTATTGGATTATATATACTTGATACATCTCCAGTAATTAGTAAAACATATATGTATGTATGTATGTATGTATGTATGTATGTATGTATGTATGTATGTATGTATGTATGTATGTATGTATGTATGTATGTATGTATGTATGTATGTATGTATGTATGTATGTGTGTATGTGTGTATGTGTGTATGTGTGTGTGTATGTATGTATGTATGTATGTATGTATGTATGTATGTATGTATGTATGTATGTATGTATGTATGTATGTATGTATGTATGTATGTATGTATGTATGTATGTATGTATGTATGTATGTATGTATGTATGTATGTATGTATGTATGTATGTTTGCATGCATGCATGCATGCATGAATGTATGTATATATGTACGTACGTGTGTGTGTGTTTGTGTGTGTGTGTGTGTGCGATTTGGATTTTTAAAGACGCTTTAACAATTTTTCAGTCATATCGCTACAATGTCTGCAGTGTGGCAGTTTATAGTGATGATTAGCACTGGGGCATCATGTCCCGCCCAGTCACATTATCCTCACACCAGGCCGAACAGTCCTAACACTAACTTCTTTATGCTGAGCGCCAAACGAGGAAACTGTTAGTACCATTTTTATTAAGTCTTTGGTGTGACTTGACCGGTGTTTGAACCCGTGACATACCATATCAGAGGCGGATGCTCTAACCACTAGGCCATCGAAGTGGTCTAAGTATTAGATTAGGTTGTTCCTAACGGATAAGATTCTATATACAATGGGACTTTGTATTAAACCGAAAATAACACTGGATGAGTCAAGCAAACCCACTAAATGTAAAGACAATTCAAGACTTGAATTTAGCTGTAAACAAATCACAAAAGGAATATCACTATAGTAAATGTTATGATAAATTCTCTTTTCGATTTTGTATGATGTTTCTTTATTCACCAATTGTCACAGTATAGCGCATTCAGATTCACAAATGTTTTTGTTTTTTTTAAAAAATTAAAATATTCATGAAGAAGTCTTGTATTCATCTCCACTTTGAAATGAAAATGTGACGTCTTAATCAGTTGATGTGTGTAACAATTTACAGAAACCAGTCCAAAATACATAATGTATTGAAATGATAAGACTAACAATATAATTTCACTTCACGCTCATTCTCAAATAAAGATGTCCAGAATTCAAATCTAGCTATAACTCCAACACCACCCAGAGAAAGGAAATGCGATAAAAAAAAAAAAACTTTCAGAAATAAGGCAGAAGTAAAGGATAATACTGGTAACACGAGGTTCAAAATGTTTGTTGTATTATAGTCTGGAATAGCTGAAATGAACATATTCTATAATCATTGTTCTGGTTTTAAATCAGGTGTTTCAGATCAAGATAAGGCTTGATTTATAATATTTTTACTGTATTGTTTTGTTTAGTTGTTTTTCTTCTCAGAAAGATAACCCAACTGTATGAGCCGCAGCTGCTTTACTTTAAAATTATCCAGCTATTTGTAGCAGAGCAGAGACAACGTCCTAGAAGACCTTATTGACAGTCCTCGATGGACGGAAATTCAAGTAAATAATCGGATATGAGGACATTACCAAAAAGGAGAAGGCTTAAAGTTGAAAGCAGCATAATGCTATAAACAATCAATCGTAGGTGATGTATGAATTGTGTTTGCTTTTCAATTCATACAAATGTAATATATTTATAAGTCTCATCAATTAACTGCATCATATTCTAAATTAAATTAGTCGAGTTGTGAAGGTTATGTTTATTACATTAACATATTTTCGTAAACTAAAAGTAGTAATCATATAAATATTGATCTCAAGCCATCAACTTAGAAACTGATTTATGTGTCTCTAAATCTTTGTTCGTGAAATTTAAATCATAGATTAGTACGATGATCTCTTTACCACACTATGTGAATCGCGATTCTACATTAGGAATACGTTCCCAATGTTAAAATTAAGTCCGGAGTAAATTGAAACTAACATGTCATATATATATATATATATATATATATATATATATATATATATATATATATATATATATATATGTGTGTGTGTGTGTATGTATGTATATGTATATATAAGTGTGTGTGTGTGTGTGCATGTGGGGGTGTATTTATATGTATGTACAAAGACACCAATGTCAAGTTTTCGCGCTGAAACTTTTTTGGTTGCTTTTGTTCACTTTTATCTTCAGTTCTTCAGTTTCTTTTATGTGGACATTTTGTCACAGCATAACGCAAGTAGAAAGATATATAAACTATTTAGGAACTATGTTCTTATTAAAATTCAATCTTAACTACGAAGATCAAGACTTTTGCAGTTAGTGTCGACTTTGTTATTCATCAGACGTTACTTTGACAATGTAGCTAAAATATATTGGTAAGTTAAAATATTCCTTCTGGTAAATCGTTCAAAAACGAAACCTCCAACATCAAAACTTGCGATATATTCCATTTCTGAATGTTTAAAAAAATCTCTTATTTAAGTAAACTTTTTGGAGTGACAACAAAACTGACAGTATCGCATTTAAGAAGCTTGTATTAATTTATTTATCTGAATAAAATATATTTGCCCATAAGCAAAAAATAATATCCCACAAATAGTTTAATGCAATCATCATCCACAATTGAAACCATCTCATTTCATGCTTTTATTCTGATGGGTTAAGGTATTCAACTTAAACGTGAACAGTCTGCCAAAGACTGCGAAGAAAGGACTTAACTTTGTTTAACAGTTTGTTTTATAAATTATCAATAATAGTAATAAAATGCACATAGTATAATCAAATAAATAGTCATTTCGGTGTGCTACATTTGTTGCAGTTCTCAACAAATTAAATTGCTAATTACTTCGTATTATGTCGAAATTACATATTTAATGCATTGTACAAATGATTCCATCGAAACATAAGAACATGCTGTTACATGATTAATGCACAGAATTGTCAGGACTTCTGCCTTCCAAACGATACATTGTGACGACTGGTAGGAGCGTTTACAAGAGGAGGCCACATCGGCACTTTTTGCTAATAATTCAAAAAGTGACATCGAGACAAAATGCTTGAATAATAAAGACCAATATTTCTGCTTTCCTCGAAATATTTCACAGTTTGCTTTTGAAACAGTACTAACATGTTTGGAACATAACAAAGGCCGGGCATTAATTTTCACACCTCTCGGTTAGGAGTGGAAAAGTCTTCACACACGATTCAGCAATGGCATGTACTATACTTTGATTAACGAATGTAATACGTGGTTGAATCTTTATGTGCAATATATTGTCTTGCATGACGATTTGCAAATGTTAACAAATTTCATATTCATAAATCATTTGATACAACTTGTACTGTTCGGAAATTAAAAATTAAACAAAAAAGTTATAAAAATAAATAAGATATTGCTCTTTATGTGATAAAAAGTACAGAAAATCTAGCTATACATTTAAAATCAATCGTTTAAAAGATTTATTTTAATCAGAGATACCTTTTCAGTGAATCACATACTGAACTTTCATTCTGTCTTTTTCCTTCTAACTACTGGGCAATACGCAATGTAACATAAACCCTTAATTCTATATGTTCTTAATTGTTAATGATTCCTAAAGCAAAAAGTTTACCAAAAAAATCGTTTATTAATTTACGCCTGTCACTTACAATTCAATTTACATAATTGGAGAGCCAACATTATAAAGTACATGGCATGGTTGTCTTTGTTATCTGACTACGGACCCTAATGTTGGCGTGAAAAGGTATATTACAGTTTTCAATATTTTCTAATTTAAGTACAGCAATGTTCCTTTGTTTCATTCTTATGAAAAATATGCATTTTATTTTTCCGTTTGAATAATAACAATGAAAATACAATTTGCAAAAGTAGGTCATTTATGATATTTTTTGTTCAACTCGTGCGTATTTGGGTCTTCATGTCAACTCGTGCGTATTTTGTCTTTTTATCTATTGATGACAAAATGCCGCTACAATCTATGCTTTTCTTTATGGGTTTCAAACTAAGGGCAGTGCTTTCTATCTGGAACTATGTTTCTTTGTAATATTGACTGGAGAAGCAACCAGACGCCAAAAACCTTGCTTCTGGAACTTTAAAAAAAATGTAATAGAAAATTGTCGTTTCTCTTTTTCTTCATTTGTATGACTTCCATGTATCCATTATTATTATCCAAAACAAAACTATGTTTTGCGAACTACTTCTTTCCTAAGACACGTTTATGAAACTGGATGCAATAAAGCAGTAAGCGAAATAAGTGTTTGTTTCCTAACCAGATCCCTTGGGAACAACGGGCAAGGCTGATTGAACTTCTTAGCAACACCCGTGAAGCTTCGGCTACCATGCTATTGCATATTCCTAATAAAGCTGGTGTAATAACAGGAGAACAGGAAAAGCAAAGATTACTTTTTAACAAATTTTTACCCAAAATATTCTGAATAACAAATACAGGTAAACTGATACTTTTTCAAAAAACATTTAAAGCGACCATGTGCTTTCATTATCATTCGATGTAAAAGGTGACGCCTTAACTACTTTCGATTTCAACATATATGTTCTTAATTGCGACATTTATAAGTTGGCACATATCAGATCCTCTGCTAAAACATTATTTAGATTTTATGAAAAAATACATTGTAATATCATACTCGTAATTCAAGAAAAAAAATTAGCTTTTAAAATCTAGATATAAAGGCTTCGCTATTTTTTAGAATCAATTGGAACAACATAGTGATTAAGGATCTGTTTTATATCTCATTGTTTAATACGATTACTTGTCAAACTTTACCCAAAGTAAGATCCGATACTTTATTCTGTCGATTCTTAAATGGATCTTAGGTACTGACGATCATTACTACTGTTTGCGTGTGTGTGTGTGTGTGTGTGTGTGAGAGAGAGAGAGAGAGACAGAGAGAGAGACAGAGAGAGTAAATGATGGATCATAGCTGAGATAAGGGCAGCTGAAAACCAACAGTAACGAGACACCCACAAATATTGCCTTCGATGTCTGCAATGTGGCAGTTTAGAGTGGTCTATCACTGTAGCAACATGACCAATCTTGTCACATTATCCAAACACTAGGCCGACCAGTCTTAACATTAATCTCTTAATACTGAGCGCCAAGCGAGGCAGCTGCTATTACCATGTTTTGTAAGTCTTTAGTATGACTCGGCCGTTGTGCGAACTCGCGACCTACCTCATCCGAGGCGGATGCTCTGACCACTTAAGCCACCAGAGCGGTCTCCTCATTGATGCAATATAATAAATGTTTATGTTTTAATAAACTTATGTAATCTATTTTACATTTAAGACTTTCAATGATTTCGTAAATAGTAGAAATCACGATTGTTCATTGTCAGATTTCTAGCCCTGGCTATGTCATTGATCACTTTGAATAATCACACTTAATTATGAATGATATTAACAACATTGAAAATGAGAATCAGCAAAACTCTCTCTCTCTCTCTCTCTCTCTCTCTCTCTCTCTCTCTCTCTCTCTCTCTCTCTCTCTCTCTCTCTCTCTCTCTCTCTCTCTCTCTCTCTCTCTTTTTTATGGTTTGCAAGGATTTTCTTTAGATGAAATATTAGTTTCAAAATTAGGAAAATTACAGTAAAAATCTGAATTTCAGAATTTGGTCTTCTAATCTCTGTCATGACTTTGGTAGACAGTACATCTTTGCTTAATATGTTAGTTACCTTAAAAATTCGAAAT